TCCTCTCTCTCCTCCTCCTCCCTCCCCTCCCTCCCTCCTCCTCCTCCTCCTCCTCCTCCTCCTCCTCCTCCCTCCCTCCCTCCTCCTCCCTCCTCCTCCCCTCCCCTCCCTCCTCCTCCTCCTCCTCCTCCTCCTCCTCCCTCCCTCTCTCTCTCTCTCTCTCTTTCTCGGATTAATGCCCGGAGAAGCATCCGGCTAATTCGATTCGCGGGACCCACGACCGCGTGACGAACGAATGTATCGGACCTTCGCCGGCTGATCACACGTTTGTCCGGAATCTCTCAAATCGTTTCTGAGAAAGTTTTTCGTGTGTGTCACATTTCGCTTCTGCGGTGTGCGAGGATTACGTATCATGATTAATAATGTGGACTTTTCTAGAGAAATCGTGAAGAAATTATACATTTTACTGCCGTACAGCCATAATTTTGTTCCCGATAATTTCCCAAGATTGACTTCAATTTCGGAGGAATTTTCAAAATTACAGAGTGATACAAATTGCGAATCCTCCGTGTCAGTGTTCCAACATTGCTTATTGCTATTTTGGTGGTCCAAACGATTAAAATCACAAGAAATTAAGCATTTACGATTATTGTATTCCAATGTGTTTTGTTATGTAATTAAAAAATGTTTCCGCAAATCTAATTATAATTTCACATCTTTCGCGGGCAAGAAAATTTTCTCGCTTTTACGATGGAAATTTACGTCGCATATTATGTGACATTCGAATGCAAATATTTATCGCCGCGCTTATGACAATAAAGAGGTACAAATCTCTTAAGCTGCATAATTTGTTTTCCGATTAGCATCGCGCGGCTTAATTTCGGCATCGCGTTTGTGACAAAACGAACAGGACGCTATATGTTTCACGTTCTCATCTCGAAATCGCGTTTGCCTTCCTCTAATGCACAAAACTTGTCGGGGGTGCGCGCGGAGGGGAGTAAAGGGGAAAGAAGGCGGTCATTTAAGAATCTATCTGGGTACTTAGGTAAACTTAGAGAACCTCGAAGCACGATATCTCTTTGAACAGTGCCGACAGCGTGGACCTGTTTTTCCGAGTGTAAGTTTACCGACAAAAGGATCGCATGAATATTCATATGTCAATCCAACTATCAAAGTTTAATTTTTTAACGAGCGACCAAACCCGTTAAGAGACGGCTAAATGCTTTTCAACGATGTACGGAATGTCCGCCGCCGTGTGGTATTAAAATATGTCTTCTATGCATGTTTTCGCATGACGTGCGTACTGCAAAATTGCTAACCGAGAATTTATATGTTAATTGCACAATAGTCAGATATTGCCAATAATCTTGCAGTAGTAATACTGCTCTTAAATTAAAAAAATTTGATTGGTAAATCATTAATAAAAAAATTGGCCAATATTTCTTAAACGTAGCGTATTAATTAAGCAATGCTAATAATAAATTTCTAAATTCTCTGACATTTCGTTTTTACTCCAAAATTTTTCAGTGACATTCTCTTTTTATTTGCAAAAGTTATTTTTATCTCAACGTTAACTATCGATAGATTTTTTATTCTATCAATATGAAATTTGAGTTAATTTTTAATATACACTAGAAAATGTGTCGAAAATAAAATGTTTAACATTGGCTTGTTCTATATACGAAGGAATATCGTTCGAACATCCAAAAGCGGCATTTCTTTTGATTCTTAGCTTTCACCGTCTTACTTGCAGGCAGTCAGCGCGGGTGCTAGGCTCGCTATAGAGGAATGTCAGCACCAGTTTAGATCAGCGAGATGGAACTGTTCCGTCAGCCCGGAAAATCCCGAGAACGTGTTCGGCGGCGTCATGTTAGTCAGTAAGTGCTTACGGTTCGATGCTTGACGCGGTACGACCGTGCCGATGTATTGCTTCTGAGAGTTACTCGCGCACCGCTCGTACTTGTAACATCAAGTACCACGAGTGGTTGGTTTTGTAGCGTAACAAAAAAATGCCTACGTTTCGCAGATAGTCGAGAGGCCGCGTTCATATATGCCATATCAGCAGCTGGAGTCGCTTACAGTGTCACGAGGGCTTGTTCCAGAGGCGAACTCACCGATTGCTCCTGCGACAATCGGGTGAGAACGCGACATCCGAACAAATGGCAGTGGGGCGGATGCAGCGAGGTGAGTGACCGCAAAAATGTCTTTTCGCACATTTTTTCATACGCACTTTTTTATCTATGTTTGCTCTATCTATATCGTTCATCCGTTATCCGCGATATTTTTTATAGATATTACAAATTTCCCGTTCCATTAATTATTATAAGTGTTATATCCAAAAAATTACGTATAAAATATTGTAAATATTATCATTTAAAAGCTTTAATCCTTTGTGATTCGATATTAAGTCATACAAATTAAAGTTGAACATTATGTCATTCTTTCGACGTGATCGATATCATGTATGCTCTATTCAACATTGCATCGCAAAGAGTTAAGCTCCCGCGCATCGATAACTCTCGGATATCTTTCTGCCTATTATCTTACACCGACAGGTCTTTCGACGAGAATTTTAAACTAGCCGAAGACAAAGCTTGGTAGTAAACGGATGCGTTTCATGCGAACGGCTGACCCCTTGTAGACATTGCCGGCTTACAAGGGGATTAAGGAAGCTAAGCTTGTTAAGTTGCAACAACCCACCGGCCCTCTCCCTGCAATCCGTACACGTAACTTACTTGGGCATGAGGAACGAGTTCGCACACACACGTTAGACGCGTGACACGTGCGGAGATGGTTACGTATACGCGCCTGTCACATGATCAAAGTATTCACGAATTCGCGATAATGCATCCGAAGTAATAATTCATGTAAAGCTAATCATATCTAAATTTATCAAACAAGATATTAATGTCAAACTTGATTATGCTAGTTTGCGAAATTTGCGTTAGTTAAACTAATGTGATAATTAATATCATTTTACTTTATATATTTATGCAAATTGCATGTCAATCTACCATGAAAGCATTTCAGATTATTAAAAATATATTCTCAATTGGGAATTCTTCAAGCTGCCTTAAAAATAATAACCTTACACTTATAATAATAATAATTTTTTGTTGAGAATATACTGTAATCTTCTTTCAGTGCTTTCTTGATAAAACTGATATTTAAAAAGAGAAATAATAACCTGTAACTGAAAATTATTATTTTTTTTTTAATCTTAACATCAGCTTTATCAAGGAAGTACCAAAAGAAGATTACAATTAAAAACTTCTTAATCACAAGAGTTAGTGTGAAAAAACGTAAAAATCACGGGAAGTCAGATATATCCTAACGAGGATGAGTTCAGTGGACAAATGCCTCAGATAACCGGCGACAGATTTCAGAGGTAATGATGTTTGCCTGCTTTCGCCAAGTCTCAGAACAGCCTTGGCTTTAACTGGATTATCGATAAGATACCATTAATTTAAAGTTACCGATCTTGAGTAGATTTTTATGACTGTCAAGTGGAGGTCTATATAGTTGGCCCCCCCTCTAACGCAAATCGTAAAAACATTTATATATTCGGATTGTACATTGTTTGTACATGAATGTACTATGATTTTTATCGTTTGTACATTTTTCGTTAATTTAAAAAAAAATTACAAAGTTTTCGTAACTGTGCCAATGATAGTTAGCCCCCCCCTATGTCGCAATTACATTACGTAAACTATAACTTATAAATTTATCGTGCTTAATCGTTTGTACGTCGTTTGTACATTATTAATAATCGGTTAAATTTATAATTCCAACATTTTGTTTTTGTTTTAAAAACGCAAGATAAATAATTTTTATTGATATGGCGGGTACGGAGTACG